GGCCGCGCTCGGAGCCCGGCGGAGCGGAGCGGAGAGGAAAGGAAAGGAGGTGAGACGGCGGCGGGGTGCACCGGGCTGCGGGAGGGAGCACTGCAGGGGAGAGCGGCTCCGCGGCTGCGGAGGTGAGTGCGGGGCGGGGGGAGCGCGGCGCGGCTCTGGGGGGGGGTCCACGGCGATCCGCTGCGCTCCCCAGGCCGCGGGGCGGGCGGTGCTTCTCGCAGTCCCTTTTCCTTTTCTTCCCTTTTCCTCCTCTTCCTCAGTTCACTTTTTTTTTTCCCCTAGCCCCCTCTACCCCTCCCCCCACCTTTTCTTTCTTTATTTCCAATTAAATCCCTCGGCTGTGTGTGTTCAGCCAACTCTTTTTCCCTTCGAGCACGGGAGAGTTGATGAATACGCACAAAGGAGAGCGTTTCCCCGGAGGCTGTTTCCACAATGAGCCCATTGAGCTGCGCCCGCGGCGCCGTGTTTCTCTATGGGGGGAAAAGTTGGGTGCCAGCACTGAGCTGCCCCATCCCTGTGTCCCTGTGTGTCGGGGGTGTCGGTGGGTCCTCTTTTACCCCACCTCCCCCAACAGCTGCTGTCCAACGTCCAGAAGATGCGTGGTGCACCCTGGTGCAGGGTGGCCTTTCTATTTTGTACTGATCAAGCTTTTCCTACCTAAAAAGCCCGGGTCGTTTTGTAGGAGCCCCGCATTGCTCAGGGACTGTCCCTGTGCACAGCCGGTTCAGGGGCCCTTTTTGTTCCGGTCGCACTCCAACGTCACCCAGCATGAAGAAAAGAAAGAAAACAGAACCTGGAGAAAACCCAGCCGTGGTGTTGTGTTGTGTGTCTGGTGGTCTGATGGGCAGCCCTTGCTGACCCTCATCGCTCACCACATCCCCGAAATGAGCAGGGCTGAGGGGCAGAGCACTGAGATATTGGAAAGTGCATGGAGTGCTTGAAAGGGGTGGGAGCTGCTGGGCTGTGGGTGCTGATAAAATGCTCAGAGATGGGAGGAGGATGAGGTGGAGGCTGCGGCCCCTCGGACGCATCCTTGGCATCCCGAGCTGCTTGTGCTGCTGTGCAGACACAGCAGTGTGCAGCTTAGCAGCTCGTGCAGCTACGGGGATCGCATCCCCTGTTGGGGTTTCATGTGATGTGCGGGCAAATTCCTTTAAATGGGCTGAGTGCCCTCGTGGCGGTTTGAGGAGAGACTGTGCTTAGGTGGGATGAGGAGCTGTGCCTTGGGGAGGGAGGGCTGCTGCAATTCCAATGGCAGAATAAACAGAGCCGTGGTGCCCACACAGCCACACGTGCACACATGGAGCTGCTGCCAGAAAAGCTCAGGGTTTTGTTTTTTTTTATCGTTGTTTTGTTTTCTTAAACAGTTTCAAAGGAAAACGTGGGTGAGTTCTTGAAATGAGTTCTCTATCCTCACCGGTAGAACTTTGCTCAGGGGACCCTTCTCCCTACCCAGCCACCTTGTGAAGTGTTGATAAAGATATTATCCGCAGCATCAGCTTCCTTTGATTGCTCTTTTCAGCTGTGTGTCTGGATGGAAACCTAGCAACACAATAACCGTATTGAAGGGAGACGTTTCAATAGCTGCACTTCTTTTATCACGTTGGGTGCATCTTCAGAGGTTGGCGTCATCCGGTCGGTTTCTTTACCCCTTTGGAGCCTGAGAGTTTGATGGGGCCCCGAGCCTGGAATAAAACAGACGTGAGCTACTGAAAGAGACAACAAAGGTGGAATAGAAATGCATAATATAATAAAACATCCATCCCCTGCCCCTGCGAGCACCTGCTGTGTTCTCATGGGATGCACTCTGCTAGGGAGGGAGGGTACCCATGTCACAGCAGAGGGATTCTCAAGGAGAAAGCAGACGCTGTGCTTGTATCCACTTCACCTCGGTACACGGGGAATCTAAAGGACAGGCAGCCCAGAGCAATGTGCAGCACAGTGCAGTGTGTGAGAACCAGGCTGGCCTTTGGGAAGCAGCCTTGTTCCAACCACCCGCTGTGAGGAAGATTATGACTCAGTGTTTGAAATGTACAGGGCCAAATTCATCCTTGGGTTAAAAAGCTGAAAGTCCCTGCCTCTACATTTAGCACCATTCTGGTGTTGTCAGCTATGCTGACAGATGGATGCCCTTGTCGTGCTGGCTGCCTCCGTGCAGCATTGGAGTGAGGCACCATCACAGGGAGCCGGAGTGACAGCACCTGGCTGCCCTGCCATCAGCTTGGGAAGTAGGAAAGGTTTCTTCTCTGAAGGAGCAGCGATGCATTGGTACGGGCAGAGCAGAAAGGTGGGAGTTCATCCTTGGAGGTGCTCAGGGATCGTGGAGAGGTGGCACTGAGGGATGTGGTGAGTGGGGGTGGTGTGGGGTTGGCCCTGGGGATCCCAGTGGTCTTTTCCAACCTTAATGATAAGCAGGAGATGGAAATGAGGGATTTCACGCTGGTGAAAATCTCGTAGTTTTCAAATGTTTGGGAGCAAACCTTTGCTAGGTGCCAACATTTCTCTAAATACCCACTGTTTCCATGGCTGCTTCTCCCAAGATCTTCTGCCTGTTACATGTTAATGAATTAAACATCACAGGCACCTTTGTCAGGGCAAAAGAAAAAGTGCTTCTGCTCCAAGACAACTTCGAGAGTTCCGTCTCTGTCATTTCTGCACTGTCAACGAGAAGTGTTTGCTGTTCAGGGGCAGCTGAGATGTGTGTGTGGAACTGTATGGAGTGCAGTGAGATCTGGCGTGGCACTGCAGGAGGGTCTGATGGCCACTCTGTGTCCCCAAAAAGCACAGCATGTCTGAGAACCTCTCGTGATGCCGGCGCCCTGGAATAAGTGCTGCTTGTGCAGGGTTTGCCTGTTGGGTCCAAGTGCTTAGTGAGTAAGCTTGACTGAAGCTGGAAAGGGATCGGAGTTCGTACCTCAACGGCGTACGGAAAATCTGGATAAGCTGTGATTGTGAATTCTGAAGTTTGAGCAGGTCCTGCTGCACGGGCTCTGGGCGATGTCACTGCCATCTCTGCATACCAAATCCCAGCACAGCTCTCTTTAGCACACAGTATTTAGCATACAGTTGGTTTAATCCTCTAATCTTACCCAGCACTGACATAAACGAGGACTGAACAGATTAGTTCATTTGAAAAAATCAGGCCCCGTTGTATCTCTCCGTGGCACTGCGTGGAGAGGCAGCTTATTTCTCTGTGCCACTGCATTTCCAGAAGGTGTGGGGTCACCGTCCATGGAGGTGTTCAGTGTGGAGATGTGGCACTGAGGGATGTGGGCACTGGGCACGCTGGGGTTGTGCTGGATGATCTTAGAGGGCTTTTCCAACCTTCATGAGTCTCCATGAGGTCAGTGGTGCAAGTTTACCTGCTGTTGGTTGGGGTGGCAGCAGCAGGGTGGGCTGTGGCTTGGGGCAGTGGGAGTGCCAGGGCTGGCACAGCACAGCAGTGCTGCTACCCCTTGGTGACAAGCAGCCTGCTCGTTCCTTGCATTGTCACAGAGACCTGGATGTGCCCTTTGCTTCCCTCCGCTCACCGCTCTGTCTGCAGGGCAGCACAGCCCTGAGATGGTGTGCATCTCTGTGAGTGCATGGCCAGGGGCTGGGATTGCACTTCCAGACCTCGTGATGAAGCCCAACGATGAAAGATGAGTTTTCAGCTCTCCCTCACGTCTCCCCTGTGATGCCACAGAACAGGCCATCTCTTTAAGTGATGGATTTCGCAGATTTACTCAAGTTCATTCATCTTGATGCAGCTCTAGCAGGGTGAATTCTCTCTGAGTTGTGGCCTTACTGATGTCTTTTCTAAGGGCTGGATCCTGCCTCATTCCTTGCAGAGCACCTGATCTCATGAATAGCTGCACTGCATTCAGGGAGGCTGTTAAGGAGTGCTGTGGTGCCTGTGACTCAGACTAATGTAAGTCAATTTAAAGGACAGATGAAGCGCAGTGTGAGTATGGATTGCTGTGTCTGGCCCCTAATGAATAATTCAGGGACGGCGTAAGAGTTAAGAGCTTCATCCAGCTGTAGGTGAAGTCAGCTCCCCGCTGACCCCAGCCCATAATACATCTCAGTTTGTGGTTAGCTGGCTTTAACCAGTCCACCCCCAGCCTGGTTCAGCACCCAGCAGAACATCACTTGGGGTGCTGCTGCCCATCACGGTGCCATAGCTGTCTTCTGCAGCCCCAGGACAGATGTTTTCTGAGATCTCAGTGCTGCCTCTGAGTCCTGCTTCTATAGTATTGAAAAACAGGAAAGATTCATCACTGGAGCATTAAAAACACAGATACTGAAAAAAAGTTTGGCAAGGCATGTTGCAAAGATGTAATAGATGTGAGGTAGGGCTGGGGTGATAGGACAAGGGGAAATGGAACAGGACAAGGAGAAATGGTTTCAAACTAAAAGAGGGGAGATTTAGACTGGATAGAGGGAAGAAGTTTTTTGTAATGAGTGGTGAGGCACTGCACAGAGTGCCCAGAGAGGAGGTGCAGGCACCCAAGGTCAGGGAATGTGGCTCTGAGCACCGATGCAGCTGTGGGTGTCCCTGCTCAGTGCAGGGGTTGGACCTGATGGCCTTTAGGGTCCCTTGCAACTCCAACTGTGGTTCTGTGATGCTGTCCTTTTCCAAGAACTTGGGTTTTGCTACAGCTGGATCTTCACGCTTCTCTTTGGGTCTCTTTGTGCCTGCTCTGCCATGGCTGCTGCAAGCTGCCTCCGTGGGGGGGTTGGACTGCCTGCCCAGATGGCTGCAGCCTTCAGCACCTGACCCTTTTTTCCTGTTTTGAGTTCTCTCTGCTTGCTGGGAGAAGCGGTTTGGGGAACAAGGCTGGGATGCTTTCCCTGCCATCTGCCTCAAGGCAGCAGGCTGCAAGCTGGCACAGTTAATTCCCCGTCTTTGCCAAGCTCTGTTAATAGAGAACGGCTCCTCCTGAATAGAAGGCAGTTCTGGTTACATAAATAGCAGAGGAGGGGGAGAGGCCAATGTGTCTGTGGGGGGTGAAAGACATACTGGCAGTCGTCTGGTTTTTTATCTGCCGCTGATCTTGACTGTTGGCTTCTATATATGGGAGAATAAGAGGTGAGCGCCATTTACTTTGTGCCCGGAATTCAGGCTGGGGATGTTAGCGCTTCAGCGGCTGTGATCTCACTCCCTCTGTGTGCATGTGATCCCGGGATCTGCCTGCTGGGATGACCGTGTGGGTGAGCATGGAAGAAAAGGATCTGGGGGTGGTGGTTGCTGACAGGCAGCTGAATGTGAGCCAGCAGTGTGCCCAGGTAGCCAGGGGGGCCAGCGGCATCCTGCCCTGTGGTTGGGCACTGGCACAGCTGCCCAGGGAGGTGGGGGAGTCACTGTATGGAGGTCCCATAGAGATGTGGTATTGAGGGATGTAGTCAGCAGGCACGGTGGGGTGGGTTGGGGCTGGACCCAACAGCAGAGAAGGAAGTTTGCGTGTCAGCATAACTGACCTCTGCTGGGTGTGAAGTCCTTTATGCATGGTGGTACAGAACGTGGGAGGCACTGGGGAATCTGGTTGTTATAGCAGTGGTCTGGGAGGAATTGGGTCCTGTTTTCGCTCAGCCAGAAATGATTTTGAGCAGATCTGGAAGGTCACAGCAGTAAAAATGGCTCTGAGTTTTGGACGCTTCATTTCTGGGCACTGGTCTGTGAGTGCTTGCTGGAGCTGTGGGCATCACTGCTGCTCCCCCAGTGGCAGTTAAACAAGGAGCCATTCAGCAACATTGGTTGTGACTTGCCTGGTCTGTATTTAGCTTCTGTTCAAGTCAGCAAAACTTATGGCTCAATTCCAGCAGAACTGGAGCTCGACGGTGCAGCCTTGCTTAATTCGTTGGTAAACTTGCATCTAATCTGCCCTGTTTCCCCAGAGGAATGAGGAGATTGGATCTGATAGGTGTTTGCAAAGGGTTTATGCAGTCTCTGATGAAAGCTGGTATGATGCACAAATGCAAGGCGCTCTTTGCTCCTCGGGGGATGTGCTGTATGTTGACTTGTTTCTCGGCTCTGTTTTGTACCCAGGAGCTGGGAGTGAATTGCTTCTGAGTGCTGTATTAAGGTCTGTGGAAACCATTTATAAAGAAAAAAAAAATTAAAAAAAAATCCTAATCCTCTCTGCTGCTTTGGTACTGCTGAACATGCAGCATGCTTGATTCCTCGAATTGAATCGTTTGTCTTTTTGTTCCCCTTTTTAACAAGGCAAATGAATTCCTGCAGAAGATGGGGCTGCAAACTCAGATGGAATATGGCCCAAAATTGCACCATAAGCGTAGCACAGCCCTGCCTCCTGCTTGTAAATCAAATTGGGCAAACCCTGTCCCCACATTTCCCCTCCACCTTGCCCTGCACCCTCCCGTCTGCACTCCAACCAGGAGCTCAGGCACCAAGCCTGGCCAGTTTTTATGGCTGAGTTGAAATGGAGAGGCAGACAGGCCCACGAGAGCGTGAAAGTGACTCAATAAAACAGTGGGCTCCATTTAAACGGAGGGCGGTGAGTCTGGACAATACAGACAACAGCTTGTTTTGAAAGCTAAATCTCTTTTGCTGGAAAGCTTGGGCTGCTTCCTGGGGCGTGCAGGGAGCTGCTCGTTCCGGTGCACGCAGCCAGCACTTCCAGGTTCCAAACTGAAGGCCCAAGCGTTGCAAACTGTGGCTTTGCAGGGACCCACTGAGCATTTCTCAGTGCCTTGAACTCTACTGAGTGTCTGATAATTGTGCACAGAGCATGGGTGGAAACACAGCAACACCATAGGGAGCTGTAAAACACCGTCCTGTAACAACGAGGAGCAAGATCCATCTGCAAGTGATGTTTTGTCCCCTGTGGCACTGCTTAAATTCAAAATAAGCTTCATTCCTGTAAGTCTGCTGCACAGAACCAACTGGTTGGGGGGGTTACCCAGCAGTGATGCAGGGTTCGTAGCACACATTTCTGTGGATGTGAGAGTGACCTTATTTAGATTCCAGTAACAAAGAGCTGCTCTGCAAGTGGCAGAGACAGATTAAGACTGTGATGACATTTCCTTTACAGACCTCTTGCTATTTCTTGCATTCTCTCTTCTCTCATATAGCAATGCGTTGTAGATTCCTTCTGGATCCAAATCTTGCACGCATGAGGCCAAACCATTCTGTGTGTGCACCACCTGCCTACATCCCCACCAGCTCTGCTCTGCATTTCCATTCCTCTGACTCATCTGGGAAACGGCTGCAGTGAGTTTGCTCCCTTCCTCAGCCAACTGGGTCTGCTTTCCAAAGGGCCACCTGCAGTTCCACTCCAGCATGGGGCAGCAGAGCTGAGTCCCTGAAGATCACAAGAACAGACTGTGGTTGACTGTGTGTGCCAGAAGGCTTTTGGGACAAGGCATATCACAAAGGGATGGAAGGTTGGGTTTCAGCTCTCGATATACAAGCCCTTCAGAAGCAGGTGATGTGACTTGCAGCAGGAAAGCTAGAAAAATCTGTTGTCAAGCCATAAATTCCCCCTGTGTTTTTGTTTCAGTGCTGGAACTTGCAGGAGTTGGTCCTGCAGTTAGCACAAGGAACATCTCAGCTTGTGGATGAGAGGTGTGGGATGCGTTAAGGGATGGGGAGCCATCACCTAAAACACTCAGATCATTTGCTGGGTGGCAGTTTCCTGGTAGCCTTTGGGCTGCATGGTTTCCTTGCACAATCCTGAGCTCCTGCAGCTCACATGGCTGGTGTTCCCTCAGCTCCTATTCCCTCAGCTCCTGATGGCAGAGAGGGAATAGGGGTGTGGGCTGGATCTGCCTCTTGCTGAACTGTGCTAGAAATAGTGACATTTCTGTGAGTCTGTGCTGGGAGGGAGAAGGGGCAGTGCTGCTCTCAGGTCTGTGGCAGTGGCCTCCATCTGCATCCTGTAGGCATGGCTTTGCTGGCGGCAGTATTTCCCTCCATTGCTCAGGGACTAACAGCTCTTTGTTATGGCTCCTGCCTGCGTTAGGAAGCATTCTGGATTCTCCCTGAGATTAATGTGTCATTAAAGCCTGTTTGCTTATTCCGAGAGCTGGCCCCTTCCTCTGCTAACAGTCTGCAGGACTGTGCTCACTGAGCTGTGGTAGCATTTAATGTGAGTTTCTGCATGGATGCTGCAGCTGGCAGCAAGCTTTAAGCCCTTTGTACTGGCAGGGGATCTGCTGCCTTGCTGCTCAGGCACAGAGGCATCCCCTCTCATCTCCCTTCAGGAAGTTTTCCCACTGTTCTGAAAACCTCGTGTTCACCCAGGTCCTGCCTGGGAGCCAGCAGCTGCAGCACTCAAAGCCTTTCCAGTCTGTGGGTTTTACATTTCCACTTCCAGATTCCAATTGTCCTGAGAAGATGCAAAAGAGGTGCTAATTAATCTAATTCCAGAAGCAGTGGGTTTCCATGGGAGGAAAGCAGCAAGCTGCATACGCTTCAGGGAGAGAGAAGAGGGGGAGTAAGAAAGATGCATGGCTGCTGAAGTCCAACCTTCTGGGCTGCTGAGAGCCCCCTACAGCAACTTGGTGAGCCCCTGCTATGCAGGACTGACATTTCCATGGGTGACAGTAGAGCAGGGTTTGCTGCAGTTACTTCCACCCAGCTTGTCAGGATGAAGTGTCACCAAAAACCCAGCCCCAGACGTTGGCAGAAGTAAGGGGCTATGTCTCTTAGCTCAACTCAGTGCACAGAGCTGCGATGGTCTGTGTATGGCAATGGGAATGTCTTTGTTCCTTCACTCAGAGGGCAATGAGGCCCTGGCACTGCTGCCCAGAGAGCTGTGGGTGCCCCATCCCTGGAGGTGCCCATGGCCATGGATGGGGCCCCGGGCAGCCTGAGCTGGTGGGGACAGCCAGCCCACAGGGTTGGAACCGGGTGATCTTTAAGGTTCCTTCCAACCCCAGCCAATCTGTGATTCTACGATTGCTCATCTGTCTTTCTTGCTGGTATGTGGAAGGCTGTGCTGAAGAACCAAACGTGACTGAAAAGCCATGGGTGCTGTATGCCCACCACAGATGGTAGTCCTTACAGCCTCCCTGGTGTGAATCTGAAAGTTCTTGAGGTCAATAATCGTGGGACTGAGAATACAAGACCTTGAGTTCTGTCACTGTGAGGCATTGCAGCCCATCTGGGTGGCACACATGTGCAGTGGGACCTTCAGCCTGTATCTCCTCTTCCTAGAAGACCACAGCATGAAGGGGAACATTCCTTGCAATATCTTCTTTTAAACTCAATTGTGCTATTTATGTTGGAGTGAAATAAGTGGAAGTGAATTGGCTGTTCTGTGGTGGCAAGAAGGACTGGAAGAGACCACTGAGATCACAAGCCAACCCACCATGCCCACTGACCACATCCCTCAGTGCCACGTCTTCATGGTTCTTGAGCACCTCCAGGGACAGTGACCCCACCACCTCTCTGGGCAGCTGTGCCATGTATCCCCACTTCTTCTGAGAAGAAAGAGTTCCTAATATCCGACTTGAGCTTCCCCTGGTGCAACTTAAGGCCATCACCTCTTGTCCAGTCAGTGTTACCCAAGAGAAGAGACCAACACGCCATAGGTTTGCATTTCCAAGTTACCTTTTGTTCTGCTGTTCCACTCAGCACACACGGTGAGAAGGAAACTGCCCTCTTCCTCTTCAGGAATGGACTAGCAGTTTATGAGGATGCTCTGGAGAGGGGTCTTTGGGAGGGAACATTGGGGCTAGTCCAGGAGCACAGTGAGCACACTATTGCTGGGGGCTGCAGATGGAGCAGAGCGCACAGCCAGCCCTTGTCTTCGTGCTTCCTCCTGCTGCAGGGAGCAGCTGTGGGGGGTAGGGTTGGAGCTGGGGGCCATGCAGCTGAGCACAGAGCAGTGCCAGTGCCCACGGTGATGTAAGCTGGAGAGCCTGAGCATGGGCTGGAATAATGAGTGCCTGACAGGGGCTGGCAGCGGTGTGGGAAGCTTGAGAAGAACAGCATGCAGGCTTTGGGTGTTGCAGTTTATTCCAGAGGATTGGAACCTTGTAGATGCTCTCTGGGGCCTAGGAATCGTGGAAGCATTACGGTTGGAAAAGATCACTGAGATCATCCAGTCCAGCCAACCAACCCATCCCCACCATGCTCACTATCCCTGTTCTGCACTGCCAAAGACTGAGTGATGCTCCCTGACAAGCACACAAGGCTCTGCTTTTGGCAGCCATCTGTATTTAATGATCTGTAGAGGCTTTGTTACCAGCACAGGTGTTCAGTGGTAGACACAGGAGCGTGGGAAACCATACACCTTTAACGAGGTGCTGAGCACAGGCTGCTTCTCAGCACAATCCAGGGTGCTTTGAAGTCTGTGTCAGGACACCCAAAGGCACTCAGCTGGCCAGAAAGCAGCCCTTGGCTCAGCAGCAGCAGGTGGCTGGGGCTCTGACAGCATCCAAGTCATTTCTGCTCCAGGTAGGGAAGTCACTGCTGAATTGCACTGGTCTCAGTTTGCTCAGTGCCTGTGTGTGCCATGTGCCTGGTGACAGCAGGGCCTTATTGTTAACACAGGCGAGGAGCTCGGCTGGTGAACACAACACAGGGCTGCAAGGCATGTTTCCTGAGGTTGTAAGCAAGGAGGTGTCTGCCAGCAGCCACAGTCATTAGTTGCAATAAGCACGAGCAAATTATTTTCTCAGGACATGCATTTTCTTCACGTGTGTTAATCAAGTTCTTGTGTTGGTTTACCTCTGGGGCAACAAATGCAAGCAAACCCCAGTGACCTCTTTCTGTAAATAGTGCCAGTGTGGCAGTGCTTTGGAACGAGCATTTTGGGGAGCTGTGGGTGTCCTTTTTTGGAGTCCTTTGGAAAATGTCACCGAGGGATGTGGTCAGTGGGCAGGGTGGGGGTGGGCTGGGTTGGATTTGGGGGTGTGAGAGGTGTTTTCTGACTGTAATGATTCCTACAATCTCAGAAAGCAACCAAGATGTTGCTTTTGCTGCACACTGCTGTGTGGATCACACCTTTTCAACCACTCTCTCTCCTTTTTCTCCATATGCTGACATTGCATTCCCTTTTTCCAGCCCATCCTTTGTTTTCGTGGCTGTTCCGGAGGTAAAAGGAGCTGGAGGAGCTGATGTCCATGCCATCTCTGTCACTCACAGGCATTCCCAGGGTGTCCCAAGTACGGGCTGGCAGGGCAGCGGTTAACACAGCTTCATGAAATGGGCTCATGGCAGAGGTTGGATGTCTTTATCCAGCACTGAGGTTATGTTGCACAGTTACGCTCGATGCTTCCGCTCAAATTATGCTTGCAGAACAAAGTGTGGAGTTTGCAGTTTGTTGCACATCTGTGCCGTTCTGCGCTCTCTAAGAAATTGGGTATCTTGTTGTTTCAAACATACAAATGTCTCTTCTTTTTCTCTTTTATCCTTCTGATCTCCCTAGCACCTGCACCTGCCAGATGGGTGCTGCACCACCCCCTCCTCAGAGATGGCTGGGTTCAGCTCTGTGTGTTCAGCCTTCAGCTACTGTCGGGAGAGGCAGCGCTGAAAAAGCTCATGAGGAAATTAATAATTGTGCCTCTGAGCAACCAGGCTGGAGCAGCGTGCAGGAAATGAGGCGTGAGACCTCACGCTGCACAATGAGGAGAGAACAAGGCAGCGAATGGCTGCTGGGCTGGGGAAGCATCATCCATTGCATGCACTGGCAGAGGTCAGAGCCCCCGTGTTTGGGTGCTGGGCTTGGAAGAAAAACTGCACTGCAAAGCGTTTGCAGAAGGGGAGCAAATTAAGGATGCTGTGTCAGCCCTGATTTTGGCATTTCCTGACTGGTGAGTGCTTGACTTTGCAGCTAATCTTTCCTCACTGTTTTTGGCTTGTAATTATGAGTAGGCCTAATCAGTGCTCGCCAGGCACCTGGAGCAGCAGGCAGGTGCTGTCAGGAGAGCTCGGTGGCACAGGTCAATGGAACCCACTGCTTCCTTCCTCTGCCAGGTGCTTTTCTGGGCCACACTGAGAGCCTCTGTGAGGGCACAGATAGTTAGCAGCCAGAAAGGGGCACTGTGTGAGTTAGTGCTGATTTCCTGCACAAAGCTGGGGGGCTCTGCCAGTCCTCCACCCTCCGTACAGCCCCATCTTTTACCTTGTCTCCTATGGGCACATGAAATTGTAGAGAGTAGAGCTGTGTGTAGATATATAAAATTGTGTTGAACTTATTTTTTCTTCCCCATCGTTACACTGCAATCCCAGCAGCACTGTTGGGTCCTGATGTCGTTGTGATC